GGCTCCCTGCTCAGCAGAAAACCTGCTTCTCCCTCTCCCACTACCCCTGCTTATGTTCCCTCTCTCGCTGTGTCTCTTTCTTTCAAATAAACAAACAAAATCTTAAAAAAAAAGAAAATTATTCAGGATGCCTGGGTGCCTCAGTCAGTCAAACATCTGCCTTCAGTTCAGGTCATGATCCCATGACCCATTATCCCAGGGTCCTGGGACAGAGTACCATGTCAGACTCCCTGCTAAGGGGAGTCTGCTTCTCCCTCCGCCTCTCATCCCAGGCTAGTGCTCTCACTCAATCTCTCTCTCTCAAATAAATAAATAAAATTAAAAAAAAAAAAAAAGACTTATTTGAGAAAGAGAGCAAGAGTTGGGGGGGGTGTTACCTGAAGGAGACAGAAACCCAAGCAGACTCTGCTCTGAGCATGGAACCTAAAAAGGTGCTCGATCCCATGACCCTGATATCAGACCTGAGCCAAAACCAAAAGTCATACATCCAACTGACTATGCCATCCAGGTGCACCAACCCTACAAATATCACAGGCTAAACAGAAAGTGTAAAAAAAAAAAATTATATTTCAAATAAATGCACGTGCTTTGATCAGAAAGGAGGCATCACTTAACCACTGCCTTAAAATACAGTTCTTTGAAAAGAGAAAATTCAAATGATCCCCCAAATGTTTTTTTTCTGAATGCCAATCACGTTTCCTGAAAAAAATGACATGTAATCTGAAGAAATCACAAAGATTCATTTTGAAGATTATAGCTTATTTCAAAATACTATTCCAAACATTTATTCCAAACATTTCAGCACGGAAGCAAATCCAGAATAAGTACACGACTTTTGGGTGACTGGGCGGCTCAGTCGATTAAGCGGCTGCCTTCAGCTCAGGTCATGATCCCAGGGTCCTGCGATCAAGCCCCACATCCAGCTCCCTGCTCAGCAGAGAGCCTACTTATCCCTCTCCCTCTGCCTGCCGTTCTGTCAAATAAATTAATTAACTAATTAAAAAAAAACACCTGCTTGTTGAGGCTATATTATTATAACATTACATATATAATATATTATATTATTTTATATAGTGTATATATTGTATATCATGATATAATACATTATCTACAATAATATATAGTAAGCTACAGTTCAAGGAAAAAAAATTTTTCCCCTCCCTATTGGGAGTGGAATGGAAGGATATTAGGAACTTTCAGGAACTTACAAATGAGGGGGTGACATTTAAAACTAAAATAGGATACACAAAAGAAAAATTCTACTACATCCAAAAGGGTCACCTTCAAAATATCTGCTCCTATTTGATCTTTCATTGTAAGGATATTTCCCTTAATTAATTTTACTTAAACTTTCAGAAATCAAATTTCTACATAGAAATCAAATTTCTACATAGAACAAGGATGCTGAATTAGGCAACAGGAGAGTCGGACACAGGTATTAGCTGTGCCAGTAATTAGCTCTATGGCTTTAGAAGGTCATTTTACCTTTTTATGCCCCCACTGTCTTCATCTGTGAAACAAGATGGTTCATCTTACCTCACACCATACCTTAAAAATTCAACTCAAAATGTCTTGGAGGTCTAAATGTAAAAGCTAAAACTGTAAGACTTAGGAGAAAACACAGGAAAGAAAATCTTTGTGAAGTTGGATTAGTAAAAATTTCTCAGATACGCCACCAAAAGTACAATCAATAAAGAAAAAGGGATAATTAAAACTTGTCAAAATTCAAAACTCCTTTGCTTTAAAAGACGCTATTAAGAAAATGAAAACACAAGCTACAGACCAGGGGAAGAAATATTTGAAATCATGTATCAGGTGAAGGACTGACAACCAAATGAACACATACACACACGCCCTATAACTCAATAAGAAAATAACCCAGGGGCAACCCAAGTGGGCAGAACATCTGAATAGACATTTCACCAAAGCAGATAGATGAAAAGCTAGTAAATAAGCACATGAAGACACTCACCATCATTAGTCATTAAAGAAATGCAAAACAGAACCACCAGATACCACTTCATACCCACTAGGATGGCTATAATCAAAGACAACAAAGCTGACAAAGATAAATAGGAACCCTCATACATGCCGGTGGGAATGAAAAATGACAGTCATTTTGAAAAGGTTTATCAGGTTCTTAAAAAGTTAAACATAAATTTACCATTGACCCAGAAATTACACACAAGGAAAAGGAAACATGTTCACATGAAGATCTGCTGAGTGAATGCTCATAACAACATTATTCCAAATAGCCAAAAAGCAGAAACAAGCCAATGTTCATCACGTGGTATCCAATAAAAAGGAATAATGTACTGGTAACAGGCTATAATATCGATGAATTTCGGAAAACATGGCAAGTCAAAGAAACCACCATAAAGGGTCACATATCATATGATTATATTTACATGAAATATCCAGAAAAGGCAAATCTATAGCAGCAGAAAGTAGTTTTGTGGTTGCCTGCGGCAGGGGGTGGGAACAGGGAGTGACTGAAATGGACATGAGGCATCTTTTTGGAATGATGGAAATGTTCTAAAATTGGATTGTAGGGATGATTGAACAACACTGTAAATTTACTAAAAAATTATACAATTGTACACTTATACAGGTGGACTGTGGTATAGAAATTATAACCCAGTAAAATTGTTTTTACAAATGAAGAAATATTATGCGAAGTGAAAGAAGCCAAACACAAAAGACAATATGTTATTATGATCTCATTTACAGAAAAATGTCCAGAAAAGGCAAACCTATAGAGACAGAAGGATTTGTGGTTGCCTTGGGTTGGGCGATAGAACAGGGATTAACTGTAAACAGGCACAAGGATCTTACTGGGTGATGAAAATATTCTAAAACTTATTATACTGGCTGGTGCACACCACAGTAAATCTACTAAAAACCACAGAATTTTGTACTTAAAAATGGGTGAATTTTATAGCAGTAAATAATACCTCACTAAAGTTACTTTTAAAACTAAGATGGTCAATTGGGGAGGATATGTGCTATGGTGAGTGCTATGAAGTGTGTAAACCTGGCGATTCACATACCTGTACCCCTGGGGATTATAAAAATACGTTATATGTTTATAAAAAATTTAAAAATTTAAACAAAACAAAAAACCTAAGATGGTCAAATCACACTGGAGTAAACTTTTACGCATGGCCCACTTTAAGAATGAGATGAAAACTAACCCAATCCCAGAGGACTAAGACTCTCTTTTGCCCACTTACAGACACCCTATTGGCTTGAGAATCCCAAATTAATAAGTCTTTAAATATCTAGAACCCTATGCCACCTTAATGGCTAGGCATAAAAAATGACCACAGAAAGATGTATACTTTCCCAGAAAGGAAGCAAAACTCTCTTCTAAAACAATGATGAGGATCCCCTTCCTTTACTTTTCAGACATCATTTTGAAATCTCTCACTTAATTTCTTTCTTCAGTGTGAAACTGACTGAAGGACCCAGAAGCAATCAATCAAGACAGACACCTAGCGAGCTGTCTTTAGAACCAACCAGTGTATGTCAAATATCCAGAAAGGACACCCACGATGTGGCTTAAGGAAAAAGATGTGATTTCTTTCAGATAAAACTTAGCCCAGATTTGTTTTGAAACAAGAGGCAAAAAAAAGAAAAAAATATATATTTATATATATACATGAGATAAAGTTGCTCTGAAATACAGCCACGTTGCAATAAACACACCTCTAAGGCAGCTAAAGAGCTTTCAGCCAGTCTTTGTTATAAAACTAATTTTAGGACAGGATGCTGATCTAGCAAAGCAGACAATCTCCTTCCTCCAATACAGAGGGGTCTGCTCATGTCAGTGAGATTGAGCTTCTGTGTAGCTAAAGCCACCCCCTTTTGATTTCTAAAGTCACTGGATTATTGTTGTCCAACAAATACTCCCCTCATCCCAAGTCCCCACCCTCCCCCCATCACTGTGCCTGAGAATTACAATCCACCTTTGTGCAATTTTTGGTCTCGGCCAACTGGTATTCCTGGACCTCAAATCCACTCCACACAGCAGCCAGATCCCTCAGATGACGTCCTGTCTCTGCCTGAAGCCCTCCAATACACTTAGAATAAAATTCCAAAATCCTTACTAAGCCTGATAAGATCCCTTTCTATCCGTGCCAGTGTTCCCTCAGGTCCTGAAACACATCAAGCTCTTTCCCTCCTCAGGACCTTTGCACTTCCTCATCCCTCAGCAGGGAAAACTCTTCCCTGGAATCCGAAGACGACTCATCCTTCAGCGCTCAACTTAAATGTCAATACCTCCGAAAAAGAATTTTCCTTGAAATCACACTAACTAGGTCTTCAGGTCACTCTCTATCAGAACATCTTGTTTATTTCCTTCCTAGCACTTGCCAAACCTTGAAATTCTTTTCATTTGTCTGGTTATTCAATGTCTACCTCTCTGACCAGAAAGTCACTCCCAAAGAGTGGGAAGTTGTGCCTACGTTGTCTCGGTGCCCGGTACCTTCAGCTTCATCCGGAGAGAATCCCCAGCTCCACCCCAGTAATGTTTGGCACTTCGTGGGCACACAAGTGATCTCACACCCGCGCGGGAATGAACTAAAGCCCCCGTCCCACAATCCCCCAAATAGGTGGCTGTGCCCACAATTCCAACAGCCTATTTCTCACACAGCCTGCTAAAGGCCTGTCCTGTGCCTGCACTTTTCTTCCCCTCCCAAACCCATCTAACGCTCAGGTTCAAGTATCTGGCACTACCTAAATCTCTCACGAGCCGCTCAAACCCCATCCCGCCGGCCTCACAGGCTCGCCACAAAATCCCCTCCCCGCTTCGCACGCGCTGCACAAACCCAGAGCCTCACCCACAGCCTCACCCACGCGCCCTACAAATCCCGGGCCCCACGAGCGCCCACGAGTATCCGTGAGTCCTGGGCTCCCCGAGCTCCCGCGGGTCCCCACGTTCCCGCGTGTCACCCGCCGCCCAGCGCGGCGCCTCCCCCCTCAGCGGCGCCAGCGCTCACCGATCACCTCCTGCAGCTCGTAATCGTCCCGGTTGATGGACCAGGGCAGGGCGCTCGAGTCCTCGGACATGACGGCTGCACGGCTCGCGATCCTCCCTCAAACTCGCTGACCTCTCGTCTCCTCGCCGCGCCTCTCCCCACCCCCAACCGCCGCCGCCGCCGCCGCCGCCGCGCCCCCACCAACCGCCTCGGGAACAACCACGGGTCGGACGGCGTCTGGGCGCGGGGTCACCGCGCGGTAGAGCGGCGGGGGCTTGAAGCTCCGGCGGACCTCGCCTCCTGCTCCTCGGCGACCGGCACTCCCTGCCCGGCTCAGGTCCCGGCCTCGGCCTCCGCTGCAGCAGCGACAGGGTATTCGCCTGGGCCCAACCCCTCTGTCCCGCCCTCCACCCCAGCCCCACGCACGGGCCAAACTTTCCCTTCTCCCTCCACCTGCCGATACGCAGCGCGCTGACGTCACCGCGCCGGGCATGCCCCGCCTTGGCCCCGCCTCCGGCCGCCATCTCAAGTGTGGCTGTAGAGGCACCGCGCTAGCAAGAATCCCGGGAAAGTGGAAGTTGACAGTGAGAGGGAACAAAGGCTCAAGAAAGAATTCAGATAGGGTATCAGATAGCCAGAGAGCCCAAAGTAGCAAGAAAGTGGCAGCCACACTAATCATGGCGACCAAAAGACGACCCAATGGATGGGGCGGAGCCACTCCTGGCGGCTGGGGCACGTTGCCGTCTCCGTTGTCTCAGTTATTGGTTTGTTTGAGAAGAGATCGGAAAGGCAATGGGTCGGTGTGGACGTCAGTCAAAGTTAGTCCCGCCTCCAGACTCTTCGCGCGCTTCCTGGCGCCAGGGCCGCACGAAGATCGCCAGTACCTTGCTCATTTAGCCCTTTTCCTGGAGTGATGTCACGGCGTAACCGTCACACCCTCGAGACGTGCAAACGGCTCGGGAGGGTGTGGAGAAGCTGGAGGGTGCAGCTGGGTGTGGTAGCCATGGGGTGCGGACAACAGACCACGAAGAAAGGCCTTGAGCAGTGGGAAGGAATGGAACTGGAAGTTTGCCCCTTGACGACACCTTTTTCAAGGCGGAAGTGCTCTCTGCAGCGTCTGTCGCCGCCTTCTTTGTCACCTTATTGGGCAGGGAGGGAGTACTTGTCCAGTCTCAGCTTTGAGTCCAGAGCTCAAAGGAGCACCTGTCTTTTCGAGGCGGGGCTCGAAAAGTTGGGCCTTTTCTCCTGCCGCGGCTTGGGCCATTAAACAAGTGAGATTCGGTCCCTGTGGTTTGGCATCGTTGCAAGGGCCTCGGCTTTTGTGTGACCTCCCCTAACTTGAGTTTTCTCAGGTTGACCACTTAGGTCCATTGGGGAAATTCCTGAGGTGAAAATTGAGTGCGCTTGGTAAAATGGAAGAAAGAGTATCGGCATGAATTGGGCCAGGTACGAAACTGTTCCCTCTTGAACAGGCCAATAGTAGTCATTAAGAAAAAGAGGCCTTCGCCGAGACCCTGCCAGGCCCGGAAGCCCTGTGCTGAGCTCAGCCATAGAAGGGCCGATGACCACAAAACAAAAGTTCTCAACCAGGAGCCGCAGGAGTGGAACTGTTAAGTTTCCACATGGTTGGTGGAATTGGAGGACGTTTCTCATGGAAGAGGGGGCATTCGTACCAGGCCCTGCAAAGGTAACATGATTTCAACAGGTGGAAATTGAGAAGGTGGAATATTCCAGTGACAGCCAAAGAGCCATTGCCCAAGTTTGAAAGCAGAACACAGGCCTTACTGTAGCAATTGGTTTCAGCCATTACCACTGACAACTTTACTGCCATGTGTTGCCTTTCTTTTTGCCCGGAGAAGAGGGATGAGGATCAATTATATCAGATAGGAGCTAAAGCTGATGGTAAAGATTAGAGATCTCAAGGTTTGTACCAGTAAAAAAAAATCCATAGAGATTGTTAACCTGGGATTGTTAGCCTGCATGGACCATGGACAGACTTCAGAAGTTTGTGTAAGTTTTTTGTTGCTGTTTTGTTTTACTCCCTTGAAATTATATGCAGAATAGTATATACTTGAGGGAAAGATTTTGACCACCTTCCTCCTTCCCCCCTTCCCCAATGGAAAGGAGCTACTAACCTAATAGTGAAAATAGTTTATGAATTGACCCACATTTTTGGTGGGTGGGAGAGTCACTATACATTCATCAGTGAGTTCTCTCCCTCCTCCACACATAGCCTGATGGTGTAGTTGAGCCAGAATCTGCTCTGCAGATCTGGTCATTTAATTTTGACTATCTCGAGGGCTTTCTCCATGTGGCCTGATAGAGATTAAGATTCCATGTTCTTAATGAGCAAGGAATTGGTGACTATTTGAGCCCAGGAGCCCAAACCTCAACCTCGTTCTTAGCGTATGGCGTATCTTCCATGTGAGAACACTCATGAACTCCAGGTATACAGTGGTAAACAAAGTGACTTAGTTACTGTTTTCATGGTGCATATAGTCTAGTAGAGAAATAGTAAACAACTAAGCAAATATGTAAATCATTGCAAAGCATCATGCAGAAAAGGCCAGTACAGATCTCCCAACTTATGATGGGGTTATGTCCCAAAAAACCCATCGTAAGTTGAAAATACTGTAATTGAAAATGTGCTTACTACCCCTAACCTGCTGAACATCATAGCTTAGTCTGGCCTACTTTAATCATGGTCAGAACACTTAGATTCACCTGGAGTTGGGCAAAATCATCTAACACAAAGCCTGTTTTATAATTGTTGACTATCTCGTGTAATTGAATACTGTAAAAAAACAGAATGGCTGTATGGGTACAGGATAGTTGTAAGTGTATGGTTGTTTATCCTGGTGATCATGTGGCTGACTGGGAGCTGTGACATCTGCCACTGGCCAGCTTAATGGGACAGGATTGTCCCACATAGCACTAGCCTGGGCAAAGATCCAATTCAAAATTTGAAGTAGTTTCTACCAAATGTAGAATGTACCATCATGAAGTCTAAAAATTGTAAGTCAAACCATTGTAAATCGGAGACCGTGTGTATACCATGCTAGAAAATACTTAAAGAGTTTGGCAAACACCCTTTTTGAGAAAACTCTAGAGGAAGCCTCTCATACAGAGAGTATTTTAAATAGGTAAAGGAGTTTTAGGCACTTTTAAAGCTATTAAAGTGATACTTTCATTCCTGTTAGTATCCTGCTGCTGGTCCTTATATATGGCTCCCTCAGTAATGTTTTGGAAGATGGGGAGTGGGAGGAGGGAAAGAAGTTAGGTGATTCTGGAAGCCTGGCCCTAATATCAAAAGTTCACCAAATTGTACCTAGATTTTTTGAAATTATGACATATTTTCCTGGGGGAAGAGACCTTATTTTTCCTCACATTTTCAAAGAAGACTCTGTGTTAGTTTTGGTTTCTCCCAAAATCAGGCACTGTAACCAGGATTTGGATGCAAATAGTTTATTTAGGAAGTGTCCCCATGAGGTACTCTGACAAGAGTGGAGAAGTGAGACAGGAAGGAAAATCATTAAAGGATGAATTCATGAGGCTCAATCATGCTCTGAACTGTCTGAGAAATAGAAACACACCCCAGAATTGTCCCATGCAGAGGCAAGGTAGCTGAGGTACTTATCCACCATCTCCTTTCCCTCTATAGGGGATTAATGCTCCTGTACTTCTACCCAGCCCAGTGCTGGGAAAAAACATGCTCCTGAAGTCAGGAGAATGTACTCAGGCAACAGGCACAGGCGATCTTCCTCATGTACTAGAATGTTCTGAAAGCAAACTCCAGAGTAAGCCCAAAGGGTGTAGACAGCATCTACTCCAGCATGGTGGGAGCATGAGACTACAGGAGACATGCACAAACTAGGAGTGTGGAACCTGGTGAGAAGCTGATATCTTGGCTTACCCAGGAAGCGAGTGTCCAAGGGGACAGGCACTCAGAGCGTATAAGAAATAGGTCGGTGCAAAGGTTACTATAGGAAAAAAAATCAGTCTGTGCAGAAGGGCGAATCTCAGCATCAGCTGGATTCTGAGCCAGGGAGTAGCTTGAGGCTCAGCCAGACTGGCATCATGCTGCCAACTTGATGAGCTCCAGCCGAATGAAGCAAGAGATAGGAGATACCTCATCGAGGTGGAGCAGGTTCCCAGGTGCCTGCTCCATTTCAAACACTTAAGGGTTTAATATGTCTAAAAACCTACCTCATTAGGATGTTTATTTTTTTTTAAGATTTTATTTATTTATTTGAGAGAGAGAGACAGTGAGAGAGAGCATGAGTGAGGAGAAGGTCAGAGAGAAGCAGACTCCCCATGGAGCTGGGAGCCTGATGCAGGACTCGATCCCGGGACTCCAGGATCATGACCTGAGCCGAAGGCAGTCGTCCAACCAACTGAGCCACCCAGGTGTCCCCATTAGGATGTTTATTATAGCATCATTGTAATAGGGAGAAGCTGGAAATAATCTGCGTGTTCATTGATAGAGGACAGGCAACTGCTTATTACTTCAAACATTTCAGGATACATAAGAAATATGTGTATTGTTATAATTAATGCTAGCTAAAATTACAGCCCCAAAAGTTGACTGGTTTAACCCAAAAGCTTATTTCTTAATGCAGATGTTCCTAGTTCCTCTCCTCCAAGCAGAGAATTGGAGATTTTGGCGTGTAATATCTTGTGGCAGCATCTCCTAGGGCCTCCTTGGAGTTCTCCACTGGACTCTGCATTCAGCCAGCTAACTAACTAAGGGAGAGAAAACCACGAAAGGTAGCAAACACTGGAAATTCTGTCTGTTACTTCCTCCCATGTGGTGTTGGTCAGACCGAGTTGTCTGACCCCAACCCAAGTCAAGGAAACTGGGACATGGCTTCCGGTGTGCTCAGGAAGAAGAAATGGCAGTGGTGAGCATCTGGTCAGTTTCTACTGCATCCTCTAACTTTGGTTGCCTCCAGGCCAGTGCTACTGAGTTCCTGAGGAAGGTAGCTGAGGTACTTATCCACCATCTCCTTTCCCTCTATAGGGGATTAATGCTCCTGTACTTCTACCCAGCCCAGTGCTGGGAAAAAACATGCTCCTGAAGTCAGGAGAATGTACTCAGGCAACAGGCACAGGCGATCTTCCTCATGTACTAGAATGTTCTGAAAGCAAACTCCAGAGTAAGCCCAAAGGGTGTAGACAGCATCTACTCCAGCATGGTGGGAGCATGAGACTACAGGAGACATGCACAAACTAGGAGTGTGGAACCTGGTGAGAAGCTGATATCTTGGCTTACCCAGGAAGCGAGTGTCCAAGGGGACAGGCACTCAGAGCGTATAAGAAATAGGTCGGTGCAAAGGTTACTATAGGAAAAAAAATCAGTCTGTGCAGAAGGGCGAATCTCAGCATCAGCTGGATTCTG